TTTTTGCCCAAGCAATCATATTGTAAATTGAAAGGACTCTGTGAATAGTTTCTCTGCCGTCTTCACCACCAAATTGAGCTAATGATAATCTTCCCTTTAACACTTCCTTCAATCTTTTGGTGATTAATTTAGTAGCTATTTTAAGTCCTGAGTCCATAAGGGCAATAGGTCTATAGTTAGCAGGGTTTGAGTGGTCCTTATTCTTTTTGTGAATTGGGAGAATGCTGACACTTTGCATAGATTCAGGAGTAAATCCAGTTGTGATGATATTTTCAATAATTTGAAAAATTTCCTCCTGTAATTCCTTACACATGTATTTGATAGTTTTTTGTCTTAAACCTAGTTCATTGGGTGCTGTGGATTTCAAATTCTGAATTATCCATTCTTTCTCTTCCGTGGTAATTCTACCGAGTATTTTGTCATTGCAATTATCAATTAATGGATGTTTGTACTTGAAAAACTTGGTAATGTCAATTTGATGATTTCTTCCTCTAAAGTTGAGGTTTTGTTGATATTTGTCCTTGATCACATTGGCAACTTCATTGGGGTCACTAATTTCAGTTCCTTCGATAGATAATTTGTATGGTGGTGATGACGTTTTGTAAATTTTCTTTCTCAGATGTTTAGAGTTGGTTGCATAGTTTTGTTCCCACCATTTCATCTTTCTGTTCAAAGCCTTATCATGGCTCCATTTGATATGGTTCTTGATTTTCTCTTTGACACTTGCAAGACATTTTGGAACCTGTTCTAAAGTTTTACCAATAGTGGTCAAAAGTTTGTCACAAGGATATCCGTGCTCATTTCTATCAAGTATTAACATGAGCTTCTTATATTGCTTATTATATTTGTAGATTTTAGGATCAAGTTTAGGTGGATTGACCTCCACAAATTTGTCGCCTAGTTTATCACAAATGAAAAGCCATTTGTCGTTATCAGATTCTAAATTCTTAACTTGAGATACACATTCTTTGCTAATGGCCAGCACTTCTTTCTTATTTTTGGGATCTTGAAAGTTACGCTTCTTCCGAATTAACAAAGGTGTTCGTTGACATGAGAGGTCAAGTAGAATTTTAACCATTTTGTGATCTGATATGAAGTTGGCATTCAGTACTTCTCCAGATGCAATTGGAAAATCTGTGGATATGTAATCTATTATAGACTTGGATTGTTTGTTAATAGTATAATGAAGGTGCCATGATAAATGAGGGAAAGGATAGTAATTAAGATTTCTCTTGTTAATAAGATCTAGTATGTTTTGATCAGTTCTTCTAGATTCGTTTGAGGAGTGATTCTCGGATAAAATCGCATTGTAATCACCTCCAATAATGATTTTGTAGTTAGGATATTTTTCAATTAGGTTGTCAAGAATATATGTGAATTCACATCTGTCAGCTGGTTGATTTGGAAAGTACGCAGAAATTACTAGAGTATTAATTGAATTGATTTTACATTTCACGCCAATAATTCGCGCGTTATTCTTAATGATCGGATCTAAGATGATTTCTTCAATATCTTTGAAAGTGCTTTTGTTGAGGCAAATAGATACACCACAGGAATCTCTTGGATTGTGATAATATGTAAATGAAGAATAATATATAGAGGGAAAATCTGGACCAATGTAGACGCTTTTAACTTCCTGGAGCATGATTATATCAGGAGTGATTGAGTTGAGGTAGCCTCTTAGGGCTGATAATGGTTCTGCTCTGAGACCATTAATGTTGAGGGTTAGAATAGATAATTCTGGAGCTACTGAAGTGAATCAAGTAGTTTTAGCTTTTTGTGACACTCATCAATTTCCTCTTGATATATCTTCCTCTTGGTATTATCTTTTGTACAACCAGACAGAAATGTTAGAGTAGCAATTCTATTGGTAATCATTAATTCTTCATTATTTGCTCTGATAATATTAGCCATTTCCTTAAATCCCATAGCCAATTTCTGATTCTGTCTTGCCTCAAGTTCTGCAATTCTTTTATCCATAGAAGCTTCAATTCTCTTGATTTCTTTTAGGTGATCTTGTTGCACTTTTTCAAGAGTAAAGGAAACGTCTTTCGCTGCAATTTTAGAAGATCTGCCTAAATTTTGTGAAATTTTGTGAACTGTATCAGGTTTCTTTTCCAGGAAATCTTCTAGCATTGGATAATTGAGAGCAAAATCCAATGTCCATTCATTCATTCCATATGCAGCATGGTTTACCAATCTGATGGCATTAGATAGATTGTTGAGTCTAATCAAACATATTCTCTTCTCTTGATTGATGATAAGTATGGATACAGGTTGGTCATTATTGTATTTTCTGGCAAGAGAGGATTCCGTTTGTATTCTAGCTCTAATCAAATCATTTCTTTCAGGCCATCTACCAATGATGTCAGAGTATTGTACATCCATTGCATAGTTGAATGGTATGTCGATTTTCATAGTGACTGTTTCCTCTGTTCTAGGAATAGTGATATCATATGTTTTTGCCTTACATAGATTATTTCTGGCTTTCATACTTTTGACAGTGATCACTGCTGCCATTTCTTTACCAATTCTAGCTGTAGCAATTTCAACAATGGGTTCACCAGTATCGCTTTCAATAGCATTCCTCCAATCTGCCTTGACTGTAGTTTTCCATAGTTCTCCTATTGGAATATTATGGACACGTATAATTTTGTTGGTGTCGTTTTCACATGATGAAGTGATATTGACTTCTTTAAATTTTGTACGTAATGTTTCAACTGCCTGTTCTACTTGAGCGCAATCTTCAATAGTGACAATTATGGTATTATTGAGCTTAATAATCGGATTGATGGTGACATATTTGCCACTAAGTTTGTCCTTAATTAATTCAATTACCTCATTCTCTTCAAATATTTTGCTATATCTAACAGCAATATATCTGGGAGGAGTGATTTCCTTCACTGCTATGTCATTGATGTTGAATTCTTCATTGTCTTGTTGGACATTACTACTTTTCTTGTTCTCAGATAATAGTTTGTTAATATTCTTCATTCTTTCCTTCCATAACTCCCAAACATGTTTTCTGTCTTTATGGTTTTTAAAAGCCTTTCTTTCTGTGGTGATTTCGTATTTAATGTCATCAGAGAGTATTCTGAGAGTGGCTTTTACAACATGTTGGAAATTTAAGGTCATAGGGTTGTGTGGGCTAGCAATAACAGATACAATTTCTAAAATCTGATCAGTGTCAAGAAGAGTTCTGTTTGTATCTAGTTTAGCATTATTGTGTTTGAGAAAAGTTTTACCAACAATTTCATCAACTGACATGTCTTGTATGTTGAGGTTATTAGTCAGCTCATTATCCAACAATTCAATGTTGTCTTGGTTACTCATGCTCATACTATTAGTTTTAGCGGCCAATTCTTCATCAGCTATTGGATCAATAGTTGGGTACAATCTAGTGTCAACACTAGTAGAGCAATTGTGAGTAGGGTTTAGATTATTTGTCAAATTGGGCTCATTATCTACAGATGAACTAGCAGAAGCAATGTAGTCGTTTAATGATTGAAGTGAGCTAGAGTGCTTGGGTCCATGATTGGATCCATGGTTGGGTCTTGTTTTACCGATCTTGCTGGGCATCCTAATTGAATTATTCTTCTTTTTTTTTAATTTGTATAACGAATCTGATCTTGTTAGTCTGATTAAATACCATTCAGTCAATAGCGCTTTGATCTTAATAACTGCCATCGTAATAGGGTCTTGATTACAGTTTGATCACAACGGTAACAATCTCAGTACTTATAACCGGTGGTAGTTGTACGGTACCAAATCAGTACAGTACTTCGTAGAGAGGGAGAGATAAGTTTTAAATTTAAGTTTAATGATTCGGAGATGGTTCTTTGGGTGGTGATAAAGGGTGCTCAAGGTGAACACCTAGCGGAGGTGTTGTGTTATTTTTTTTTCCTCGGGGGATCACAAAACCATCATTTGGAAACAAACCTTAAATTTCGAAACCTTTTTTTTCAATTGGTTTGCACTCGCAACTCTAAATTGGAAAAAAAAATGGTTCTTCCTAGCAGAAGAATGCCATTAAGGCATTTCCAAACCATTTTAATTATTATTATTAATGTTCTAGAGTTGTGGATCCTGATGATGTCCTCCGAAGCTGCAATGATACCAACTGTTCCATCACAGGTTTCCTTTGATACCGGATCAAATAATACAAATTCTGCCGTCCATTCGTCGTTTTTCCAATTCAACAACAGCCTTCCATCCTCTTCTTTGATTCCTATCTTTTTCAACATTACCAAAGAAACAGTCAATGATAATATGAAAATCTACGGTGGATGTCTCGGATTACCTTGTAATTTTATGATCATCAATGCAACAGATTATTTTGATTTTCTTCAAAATCCCTCTTTAGGTCTTTTGAGAAAGAATGCAGCTCAGTTAGGTCTTTTAAACATAACCAATGTGGATGGTACATTACTTTTTATTGGTGATGCTGGATTATACGCATTCATTGCGGTGAATCCGAATGTGAACAGTACTTGGCTCAGTGTTAAGGCTGAGTTAAAATTCAGTTATGGACGCCATGTCGTTCTGCTCTTTCGACAATACTGGTACCTGGTTCTAGTGCTTTGTCTTGTAGTTGTTCTGTTTGGACTGTTGTGCGCATTCGCTGTTAATAAGATAAAAGGAAGGGAAATGCTTAATGGAATGACCAGGTACTCCAAAAAGCAATCTCAACTCAAACGAGCCTTACTCACAGAAGAAGATATAGTAGTTGAGTCATTTATTGAACATTCAAATAATGGTGATTCACAGCAATGAGCTTTGTCATTATTTATCACTCATTCCAACAAATAGTCACCTTCAAACCTCTAAGAGGAAAAACGTATGAAGGTGGAGAACTAAGGTTCGCTCTTCATTAGGGATTTAGATTCCTCCAAAGGGACATGCAGAGCGGATCATGACGTTCAGGAGCCTATGAACTCGATGAAGACCCTCTTCCAGTGCCTTCAGTACCTCTCCCCGTTCCTCCTGTGGTACCTCCACCACCTCCAGCTTCACCACCTCCACTACTTCCACCACTACCACCACTGCCACCACTAGAACTGGAAGAACTGACAGATCCACCTTCTCCACCTCCACCACCACCAGCTCCTCCACTTCCACCGCCGCTGTTGTCACTACTGCCACCACCAGAGCCACCACTTCCACCCGAAGAACTCGATGAGGACGAGCTTGGAGGCCCAGGCTGTCCTATATAAATATCGTCACTTTTTTGAATGGCATGATATTGAACTTGGGTGTCACCCTTATAAAATTTTTCCATCGGTGTTCCAATCTTGACGCCACTCATTGCAAAGATAATGGCAGGAATTTCAATGGGATGATAAGGCAAAGCAATCACACCAGAGAAAGTATCATTTGGAATGTGGAGTGTGACCACTGGTGGGTCTGTTTCCCACTTGATCATTTTTTGATTCAGGAAATATTGCTTACAATACACCACTGGTTCCAATGGATTGGAATGCCTCACAAATTCACAACCATTATTGAGGTAGATCTAACAATGAAGAATTAGATTCTCGATATAATCCATAACTTACCACAGTGGAAGCAAAATTATAATCTCTCTGATAATAGGTTAGCACAACATCTTGCAACTGATCGTTATTAATGTCGGTGATGAATCCAACTTGTGCTGTATTTCCGTTTCCGGTGTAAACGATTGGAGCAGGAGCAAACACATGCATACCAGTCATTGGAATGGCATGACATAAAATTAATATTAATACCAATACACATGGCAGCAACCATCGTAAGATCGGCGGGACAGTATGTGTCGACAGTGATAATGTCAAAATGTCCTTGATGTTGTTGGATCGCGTCACAAACATTCTTTGCTTCTTTTTAAAAATCTTGTTTTTTGTTCATTGCCTTTTCATCTCCACAAGTGTCTCTTGAAGCCAAATTTAGCAACAGTTTCAGCCATAGGCAGACAAGAGAAGGGTTTAGAAAGGAAAGTATTAGTTAGGTTTTTGAACATAAAAGACCTACGGTCTATGAGGAATACTCCATCATAATTCGAGGCGTTTCTACTCATTAAGCTCATGATCAATTTTAACCATTCTTTCCATGCGGGGCAGGAATAACTCCAGGTTGATGTTGACCGCCTGTGACTTGTCCACTCGAACTCACGACATCACTACTGGGTTGTCCTGAACTGCCATAGTAAAAGTGAGAAGCACCTGTGCCTGTTCCAGAGTAGGGCAATGTGGTGGATGACCCATTTCCATTTCTCTGATCCTCTTCTTCATCGTCACCATTCATCATTGAGGTGGGCGAGGAAGGTTTCGAAGGAGGTCCAGGTTGTCCAACGTAAATCTCATCTCCTTTCGAAATGGCATGATATTGAATAGGTAAATTTCCCTTAAAAAACTTTTCCATGTGCGTTTCAATCTTGACTCCGCTCATTGCAAAGATAATGGCAGGTATTTCAATGGGATGATAAGGCAAAGCAATCACACCAGAGAAAGTATCATTTGGAATGTGGAGTGTGATCACCGGTGGGTCTGCCTCCCACTTGATCATGATTTGATTCAGAAAATGTTGTTTGCAATAGACTAAAGGCTCAAAAGGATTCGAATGTCGAACATATCCACAACCGTTATTGAGATAAATCTTTGATGTAAGGTCACCAGAATAGGAACAGTTCAATGCATTGGTATTGAAATAATAACCTTTTTGGAATGAAATGGATACAACATGATTGGACTTACCACCTGACTCGCAAAGTTATAATCTCTCTGATAATAAGCAACAACAAAATCCAATAAATGATCGTCATTCACATCTGTAATGAATCCCACCACAGCAGTTATTCCATTTCCAGTGTAAACAATGGAAGTTGGAGATGCCATATGCAATCCACTCACCACATGCATGTTGTTGTGATGAATCCACACACACTCCAACCAGATAAGAATGACCAATAACCTCCACAATAACTTTGAAGAACGAAAGCTTTCATGTTTGTATTCTTTTCGAAAATGCATCTTGTTGTTCATGGACTGTTGTGGAGAAAGAGCAAGTTTGTGGATTAAATGTTTTTTTTTCAATAAGTCGTTATGGTTGTAATGATGCTTTGATTCATTCATCACGAAGAAAACACCATTCCACGACTGCCACAATTGGAATATTGATATTCTTCTTTGATTTGAAAACTATCACCAAATTTGTCATTCTTTCACAAATAGTCACACATTGAAAAATTGTCATTGGTTTAAATGAAGATATTTAGAAAGATCCATTCGTTGATATTGAATCTTGAAAGGCAATTCTACGAGTATTAGAGCTATTTCCACAATGAAGCAAAAGTTATTTCTAATTTCAATTTCTATTGCTAATTGGCGTTTTTTAGAATTGTTTGTTTTCCTTCTCAACTTGTTTGGGAATCACTGTTTTCTCTCAAAATTCCAGATTACGATCGAGAAATTGATGTAGTCGAGGGCTATTTGCTATTTTTTCTCATTACAATAATCAAACTAACCTAATAGGTCAAAAGTCACTTGTCATTCTCCAAACAAACATCACAAAAAAAAATGTCTCGTTCTCTCCTCTTTGTATTGTTATTATCCCTCGTTCTTGCTTTCACAGCCTCCACCCAGGCCAGAACTGTCTCTGAACGTGCCATCGACAGCATTATCAACACTTGGGTCAATTCTGTCACCAATGCTAAATACGAAAATGAAGAACTTGCCGACACCACAAGTTCACCTGGTCAAATCGCTGCTGCTTTTGCCAACTCCAAAGTTGGATCATGCTATTCACAAGCTCAAAGAATGAGTAATCCATGTTACGATTGTTCTTCATTGGTCTATTTGGCCTATAAAAGTGCTGATCCAACTTTGAAAGACTGTTCCAACTACTACTCGAGGTTATCCTGGAAGTTTGAGAGATGTGACTGGACAAGCATTGCAAACGGGTGATATTTTGTGGAGAAGTGGACATGTGGGTATTTATTTGGGAGGAAATCAAGTGGTGAATGCTGAAAATCCAAAATCAGGAGTCAAGAAGAGAGATTTGGGTTTCTATACCAAATATTTGGGTTTCACTAGAGAGTATCGTGTTTAAATATGAGATCATTCAGATCTTAAAGTGATCACACTCCAATCGAAATTGTCGAAATAACGAATAAAATTGGAATTGAAAAAAGTCATTCATTCACGAATTAAGAGAAGAATTTGAGGTCAAGTTTCAATGTGTACAACATTGATCTCAAAGAATATAAGAAAAGAGGCGTTACTAGTAGTGGCTGATTTACCATAAGATCGATCCAAAGGCTGAATATCCTCCTCAAGATACAAGGTTGACCCTCCCAACGAATAACACGCTTTGAGTGGGAATGTGTGAAAGAATGAAACAAAAAGGTCGATTCAACACAAATTCTGGCATTGCACTGGTTGGGACGGCCATTCGATAATTCACTCTTGCGACAGTCACTGCTGCTGCTTCTGTACCAGATTCATCCACTTTTAGCATTGCCTTGTGATAAATCTTATCAATCCACAAGCGGCCACCTGCTGCTAGAGATTCTGGTGTGAGAATTCCTGAAAAATTTGCCTTCTCCATGTTAAAACTTGTTTCCATGTGGAAAGGAGATTCTTTGAGAATGGCAGAAAGTTCTAAGGTGTTAATTTCTGCTTTGAATTTTGGAATTTGCACAATTCTTACTTTCGTGGAGGAAGTTGAAAATAATTCTGATAAGGACAATTGTTGTGAAATGGAATTATTTTCCGAGTGATTCGAATTGGCCAAATCGTCATGTTGGTCTTTGTTTGTCAACCTTTTCGAGATCCATTTGATGAATTCCTTTTCATTCTCTACGCTTAATTCAACGTTTTCTTTTGGAAATAGAAAGAGCATTTCAAAATTGTCATTACTGTATGGAAGTTTCAACCATTTGTACAAATCATTTTCTCCATATTTTTCTAAGATTTTTCTTTTGGTCATGAATTGAACAGTGATCTCAGAATTAGTATGAGCTGATAATGATCGAAATCTTCCAGAGACAGTTTGTTCAGGGTTGAAGGCAACTTTCCATTTTCCAAGAAAATAAATTGCATTGACCAATAGTAATTTTGTCTCGGGAACAATTGAGCCAGGTTGCAAGACATCTTTGATCAAATGATGGGTCTTGTCTGAAATCCATGAATTAATCAAATTACGTTCCTTCTCATAATTTTGGACAAAATCACATTTGCGAATTTCAGAATGAAATTGTGACACAATAGCGTTTGAAAAGTCTTGTGAAATGTTGAAGGTCTGTTCAACAAAGAGGCCATTTGCAATAGATAACTCTCTGGAGGTATTGGAATAACTAGAAATAATTTCGTTCATTGCTTGTGAAAACTGTGTTACGTCTAGAGAATTGGATTGATCCAATGAGAGTGCTTGTAACAGTTCGTGTTGGGTGTCACCACGGGATCCTATTGTAAGCATGGAAAGAACCATAAAAAGAGAGAATGGAGAAAGTACAGTGTTGTATGTGAGGAATGAATCTATTTGAGAAGATGAGGATTGTTGTGGCAATATTGAATTGAAGAGGTTTCCAGCAAATGCTTTTTGAGAAGAGGGAATCAAAGAGATCAGTGAAGAGTGTGATGATGATTCTTCTTGGCATTGCACATACTCTTGGATCCATGCAATGATTGTAGAGAGGATTATAAGGAGCAGAAATGTTGTGAGAGTAATACTTGTCGACATTTTTTGTTTTGAGAAAAATAAGAGAAATTCTTGTAGTGTACAAATTTGGTCAATTGCCAAAATAATGAATATAGTCTACTTACATGTAATTAATGTATGTATCTCCAAAATAAATATAATTATCAATTACAATGTTAATTTCTTAATTAACAAGCCCTTAAATTCAACTGATAAACCATTTTCATTCGTGGGAGAGCAAGCAAAAATTCCTAATTGCAAAATGTCGTTTTCACTTTCTGAACTCTTGTCAAAAAGATGAGCAATTCTAAGCAAATGAAAAGTTTCTCCGTCATCAAGGCTATATTCAACTCTAACATCTCCTTTCACTAACTCCACACGAATAGTAAACCATGATGAGTCGCTATCAAAATTTACTGGACTAGTTGACCAGTCACTGAACTCTCTTGTAACAACAGCACTTGCATATTTTACATTATTGACAAACTCAATGCCAGTCTTGATCCATTGTTTTTCATTGACTCGTAGCATAATACCGGCTTGATCATATAATTTTTGATAATCTCCTTTAAATTTTACTTGAATTTCAAAATTATGATTGGTCTTGAAATCCTCACGATTTAAATATAAAAAGTTTCCATCATCATGAATAAAACCGTAATGAGTTTTTCTCCAATAATCACCCATCGGAGAGGTTGTCATCTTTATATCAAGAGAATTATTTTCTTCTCCTTTCTTAATGAAAAGACTTTGTGCAACTCCAGTCGCCCAGTTCCATCCGATAGTTGGAGGTACTCCAATGTCCGAGGGAAGAGCAATCGTTTCAACACGTGTAAAGTGGTGTTGAATGGGCATATTTTGTTGTTGTTTTTGTTTGGAATTGTGTTTGCTTCTACTATATAGAAACATCAATTAAAGCCATTGTGAGTCTCGTCGGAGTCAGGAGTAGACTGGCCGAACGGTTAGGAGATTTCATGAGCAAAATTAATTGATTTCAATGCTCCGCAAGAGAAAATCATCAACAATTCGAGTGAAAGGTTGCTAATTCATTACAACAACTCTCACTTGGTTTCAAAAAGAGATTACATGACGGAGGTTCACTCGATCGATTTGGGCAAAACTAATTCAACATCATTCAATACACAGAGTAAGGAAAATTCTGAGCAAAGATTATGTGTTTGGTTATTTGGCAACCAAATATGGTTATTGTAATCAAAAAACTGGTCTTCCATATCCTGGTTACATGTCTTTGGCTCCAAATTATGTGGCAAAGGATGGTACCACCACAAGCTACACCATGAATCATGTGTTGTCCTCTCGTAACATGAGTCCCAATGGAAGAATGTGTGGAATCAGTCCAACGGGTCTTCTCTCTCAATATTCACTTGTGTTGACTCTTCTTGTGGATGCCACTCAGACCGAACAACCCAATGATGGATTTGTCGAATCATCGAGTTGTACCTCACATTCTTCTCAACAGCACTCCTATTCTGAAGGATTTAGTTCAAATTATTATCTTGCCAATTTGAATCATGCAGATACTTCGTGTCGAAATGGTAATGGTTGGCTCTCTCGATCGAAGCAACCCTGTTTGTATTATAAGGATAAAATGTAAAAACACTTTTTCTCAAGTGACAGGTCAAGGATTTAAGGGAGAGATGTGTTGCTTCTGTCCTTTCAACGTTGAAATCAATGACACAACCTGATGCTGAAACAACAAAAACAACTCTTGATGAGAGAGACTCTGCCTGTGTGGACCCCGTTGATGACTTTCTTTGGAAACATGATTCCATAGAATCCGTTCACCATGAAAACGATAGTATTCCTATTTTAAGGTCAGAGCTAAGAGATGAGATGCTTATTGATGTGGTCGTCCCTGTATAACAACAACACTTCGATCCACTCGATTTTCCTGTACGGTTGTTGTATCATTTCCTCAACCTCCTTTACCAACCCAAGTCACAACTATCTCTATTTGAACCCCACTTCAATACAGGACAGTTTTTTCCATTTCAAGCACGACTGTTCATCGGCCATTTCCAAAAAAATAAACTCAAACAGCGCTCACAAACACCAAATGCCAACTCGTGTTTCTTTCTGAGGACAATAGTAACCTCATCATGAATTGCATCTCCCTCCTTTCGCTCTCTGTTATGGATTTTTAAAAGCATGGAGTGGTGGTGTGGTTCGGAAAGAAAGCCTTTCGCAGAGAACAACGTCGGTTATAAATTGATATTCTTCTCCAAAGAAAAAAACGCACAAACGATTGAATTTCTGTTGGCAGGAACATTAACAACAACAGTTCCATCTTGTACTTGTTACTGCTCGTACGAAGAATAGTAGAAGGTCCTGTCGGGAATACTACAATTGAATTCGTGATAAAATCGCTCTCATCCATCTCTTGTATTATAATTGTAACGATAACAACAAACGTTGAGGGTTTTCTCTCTTCATTTGTGAGCTCATACTACTCACTCCTAATTTCATTAACAAACATCTGACCATGTCTGTTCCAAACGTATTCATTTCATGCTGTCTAATGACAGTTTTGTTGTCCCTCATTCTCATGATGAGTGTCAGTGCTGAACAACCAAGTCTCAATATTCGAGGTTCGACTCCAATTATCTCGGCACCACAAACATCTACACTCAAACAACTATTTTCACAATATTGGTCTCCAATTAACCCAAATAGTCAACCACGTTCAGAGGATATGAAAGGATTTGAATTTGTGTTGACAGAGAGAACTGGCCAAAGAAAGAGTTATAAGGGTGTTTTGCAAATCCATGCAAGTAATACTCCACAATGGGTTCAAGCAGATGTATACGATGGTCAACTCACTTATCATTTGAATATCATGAGAAACGCTGCTACCTTTAAGGTCATTCAACACACTTCCAAGTTTTGTTTCACTTTGAACTTTATTCCAAGAAACAATTCATTGCTCTCAAAAGTGGCTCAATTTGCCACTTCATTGCTTGAAGGTCAACAAACCACTTATCGATTCTCTCCAAATTCAATCAAGTATGATGCATTGGTGAATCAAGTTTGCAACAATTCCTCATTGAAGATGGATGCTTTCATTTTGGGAGATGATGGTTTTGTCTCGTGTGCTCCTGCTGTCTCTTCAACCTCTGTTTCTGTCAATCCTCAAATCTTTATCACAAGAAACGTCTTGATTCGAGTGACCAAACAAATTTCAGGAAATTCAAACAATTGGCAAAGAGGTGTTTGTCGTTGGACATATTTGATAGACAACTTGCAGCCACCTTGGGCGACAGATACTTTGCTGAATTATTACAAGATACATTTGATAACAGACAAAGTCTTACATCATCCTTGTTGAGACCAACCTTTTGGTTTGAAACAAGCACTGAAGCTTGCTCTCTTCCATACATGGCAGATCCATCCAAGTGCAATAGTTTGAACACTCCAACTGGATCCAAAGTTTGTATCTTCATTCATGGTGCAGGTGGTATGAAAGATCAAGATCCAAAATACAATTCATTCAAAGATTATTGGGGTGATATTGAACAATGGACTCCTCAATGTTCAAAGAGAGTGTTTGCAGTGAGAAACACTCGAGATGTTGGTTGGGATGACAAAAATTTACAAAAGTATTATTGTGACTTGGCTCGTAAGGAGAGTGGACTCAATGTCACCATCAACGGAGTGCCACAGTTGAAGAATGTGATTCTCTTCACTCATTCTCAAGGAGGTTTGGTCATTTCAGCTGCTCTCAAGAACAAACTCTGCTCAATTGATGGTTTTTCTTCGAGTTGGTATTCTGTTTCAACACCTTTCCAAGGATCTGGAGTGGTTAGCAAGTTGATTAAGTATTGTTCTGCCTATAAGGGACCTTTCAATCCATTGAGCAAAGATTATGTGTTTGGTTATTTGGCAACCAAATATGGTTATTGCAATCAAAAAACTGGTCTTCCATATCCTGGTTACATGTCTTTGGCTCCAAATTATGTGGCAAAGGATGGTACCACCACAGCAACCCTGTACACAGTTCAATTATCGAGAACTTTGAAACCTGAAGGAAGAATGTGTGGAACAAGTCCAATTGGTATCATTTCCAAGTATTCATTTATTTTGACTCTCTTGTCTGAATCGACCAACATTGCAAATCCAAACGATGGAATGGTGGAGCAGTCCAGTTGTACCTCATTGTGCACCCAAACCTACAATGCTCTCTACACATCGAAATTCTATCTTGCCAATTTGAACCACGCTGACACTTCATGCAGAAACGGTAATGGTTGGTTCTCTCGATCAAAACAACCATGTTTATACTATAAGGGCAAATTGTAATAAAATTGACCATTAATTGAACGACAGAATTTTTATTCTTGAAAAGTATGAATCATTCCTTAGACCAATGATGTTTTGAATGCTTTTTCCCAGAGTCTTTTTGGAAATGGCTGATGGCCAAACTTTTTGGTGGGCTTGATGGGCTTTTTGTGTGAGAGAGTCTAGCTTGCAAATTCGTCAAATATTCTCCATAACTCAGTATTTTCTGCTCGTGATATTGAAGGACAGTCTTGCTTTCAGTTACATGATTGTCGTCTTTCATCAACACACTGTAAGGAGGTATTGAGTTTTTCAGTTCCTCATAATACTTGGTTGCATTTGAATACTCTTCAGGAGTGCTTTGATGTAACAGGTCTCTCACATTTAACCTAAGTTTTTCCATCTCATTTTCACACTTTAACTGTCTCTCCTTAAGTCTTGAGATGATCATCCCCACTTTATGTTTGAAAACGTCCGTATCCTTTTTCTTCCTTCTTAGGATTCTATTGCACATCTTCTCCTTTGCATTGTAAGCGGTCTCGAATTCCTCGTCGTCACTATTGTATTGCGTCAGCCGATCATACTCCTTATGTAGAGATGAAACAAAATTTTGTACATGTTCTGGCATGTCCTTTTGCAAGTTCTGAAATAAAGAGAATTTCTTATTTCGTACCACCATACTTAACAACAAGCGCTCATCTTTTTTCTCGATTAAAGTTTCCATGACGTGCATTATTTCTTCGAAGCATTCAAAGTGTTCGATTGCAAGTTCCATCACTAGGTCAAAGGTAGGAGTTAAATTTTCCAACCGTTTACGATAAATTAACAAGTCAAGCTCCATCTCCTTTTCTCGTGAAGTTATGCCACATCCTTTATCAATATTAAGAACTCTTTTGTCAAAGGTCTCTCCAGTATTAAGATTGTGTCTATACAATTGAATGTCCAACTCTCTAGAAAGCACCTGTTTTTCTGATTGAAGTTTTTGCACTTCCAATTTCAAAACATCAATGTCGTTCTTCATAATTGAATTTTCTTCTTTCATGTCTTTAAATACAAGGGACGAAGCAATCATCTTCTCTTTAAGATTCTCGATTTCTAATAGATATGTTGTTTCTTTTGCCTTCAAAGTCTTATTGGACTCTTTCAAAAGATGGTTCTCTTTTTTTGAGTGTTCAAGTTGAGCCTGAAGATCCAAAACGATATTTTCCAGCTTTTGTATTTGTTCCAAAGCATTATTCTTTTGCTCCAGTTCATGATCGCGTTCATGCTCCGTCTGCTTTAGCTTAGCACGTATTTTGGAGAGCTCGGAACTGAATTGAACAGTGATCTTCTCTTTTGCTTGATGCATTTTCGACACAAGGTTATCCACAATTAAGCCACAAGATAGATGATGATTGTACTTTTTCAACTCATCACTCCACTGAACGTTACTGATCATCTGCTCAAGTGGAGGCAAATAGCCATTGATACATCTCGAAGAGGATAATGTTTTCGGAAGAATTTCCCCATGATTGGTTGAATCCATCCTAGAAGTGTTGTGTTGTTGTTGTTGCTGATATATCTCACTACTTGTTGTTTCAGTAATCAACAAGCCTTGCTCTCCACTCCTCCCTTGCCGCTCCTCCACTCCTCCGTTCTCTTCCTTAGAGATCATCATATTTTTTTCTATTGAGATATAACTACAGGAGAGGAATGGATGTGAGAAGAGTCTTAACGTATAAACATTCTTCAAAAATTTCAACTGTCCCCTAAACATGAAGATCATTCTCACAAGGATGCCTTTAAATTCCATGTCCATGGTGTTCGGAAACTGTTTCAAAAGCAGAACGAACATTTGAGAATATTCTCAACGACCTGGTGTATTGCAGGAGGAGGTCATGTGTAGTTTCCAATTGTGGAATTCTTCCAAATGCTTGGAGCGTATGATCACGAATTCAATTTCACCTAGAGTCACTCGAGCACGTGCGAATCGTTTGCAAAAAAACACAACAACAAACATATAGCACGATGAGAAGGACACATCATCTCTTGCATTCATCTTTGACTATATCTTGGCAGACATTGCATCCACCCCAGCAACAAATTCTTCTCTTCAGTTCTCAGCGCTATCTTCAACAAGAACATCATCGACAATATCATTCAAGTGTAAGAGCGTTCTCTCGTGACCATGCAGAACCCACTTCTCATACTCCCTCAACCATTCAGGGAAGTTCAGTCGATCCTCTCTTGCAATCGAAAAAGGAGAAACAACAAGTGTTGGAAAAGAAAACCAACTTGATGGCTGACTCTGTGAAAGAGAATGCAACTTCCATGAATGAAGAGTTGAGAAAAGAGCATGAATTTACCCCAGAGAGTCTATTCAATCGTGAAATGTCCAAAGATATTGATGAATCCATTACTGATAAATTAAATCGAACCAGAATCATTGGCAATAGGGATGAAGGACAAGATTTGACTCGGGAAGCAGGAGATTGGGCCAAAGAGCAAGCCAAAATGGAGCGCAAGTTTGGTGTCTCGACCACAAACCCAGAGAACTTGAAAGGGGAAGAGGAAGAAAAATCAATCCCAGGAAGGATTAAAAGAGGACTAAAAGCTGCCAAGAGATGGACCAAAACATTCTTAACAGGTTCATAACAGAACCTCTTGTACAGTACCCTTTACAGGAATGCCCAACAACAACATTGAGAACCTTAATGAATATGTTGTGGTACGACCAAAATTTGATCTAATAAAAGATCCAAGAATCCAATAGTCCTTGCATGGAAACGAATCAATCGTTAATCGAATCCCGTTGTTGTTCTATTCCTTTCTATTCATATCCTCCAATTATTTACATGACCCAATTTTTAATTAGTCTTTAATAAGTGAAAAGACCTTCTTTTCAATGTTCAACTCAAACAACGCTCTCCAATACAACGTTCTTCTTCTCAAGATTCTCTCAGCAACCCAACCATTGAAGTTCCAACATGTCGAATATTTTTGGCGTGACATTCACAAGCCGTTAATGTTTACTGCACCATATTTAAAAATGAAGCGAAAAAGAGCGAGAAAACTCAAATCAAAAAAACACCACAACAAGGGACATTAGCCTCTCTCACGTACTCTGTGCTAATTTTTTTGAAAGCCAACTCTCTCTCTTTTGATATACAGTCGTTCAGTCCGAACACAACCTCAACACTTTAACAACTACTCGAGGAACACAGAGTAATGGTTTATATCCAAGTCGCTTTGGCAAAAGACATCTTCCACTTACAAAGTAATGGTAAAACATTGTATTATCACCCACACCATTTAAATGGATCCACATTGCTTGATGACCCAACCAAAACAGCTTCTGCTAGAAGTTGGAGCGAAATGTGGAACCACTTCTTCAATTTCAAGCAATAAGTTGCTCACGAATCTTTTTCTCTACATCATCACTTTAATTTATGAATCGCTCGTCGATTTGATGTGTGATGATGAATTCAATGTTTGGGATACAAAAACAACAAATAAACTCATTCCAACACTTGAAAAAGAATCTGAACGAACGATTAATTTATGACAATTAGGTCTCTCTTCGAATCAATTCCACATTGAACTTTATTCGGCACCACCACTTCCAGCACTCGAGCGAGCAATGTTAAGGATGTTCTTGATACGAGCATTCAATTCTGCGATCTGGTTCATGACGGATGTTTGTTGTTGGGAAGAAGAACCTTGCTGGGAGACACTGCTGGCAACACTACTCCGCTCCATTGCCATCTTCATGAGACTGGCTGTGTAACGAATACGCTCTCGAGAAACATCAACATCAATCTTGCTTGGGAAGCGAGGTATTTTCGTTCCTACACAAATACAGAAGGGTTGATCATTCGAGATGGCAAGCAATGACATGGGAGTTACTCCACCAGGTAATGTCAACAACACTGTTTCCATTCTCTTTAAAACTTCATTGTAGTAGGAAAGTTGTTGGGAAATACTAGAGCTACTGCCAGCACCACTTCCACCACTGCTCGTTGTGAGTAGAATTCTATTCAAACGATTCCAGTCCAAATGAGGCACGTATAAATAGTCAGTTCCCCATGGATCTTTGGGTACCTTATTCAATTCTCCACCCTCCAACAAATCTTCCAAAGCAAGTGGATATTTGCCATGTCTTGTATAGTACAACACAAGACCTTCTTGAAGTTTGGCTAAATCCAAAAGAGCATTACTCACTCTACTTTCTTCGTAAACTTGAGCAAGCACAGCTCCTGTAAGACCAGAAAATGTCACAATAATGGAAATGGCAATTAAAATCTCAATCATACTGAGATGATGTACTGAAATTTGAGGAATAGAAATTTTCAAATCATGATTGTTCAATAATCCAATATTGCCTTTCGTGTGCTTCAGTACGTTGGAGATTGATGACAAGTATGTACCCAATAATTTACGTAATATGGATGATGAAGGATCTTTCATATCTGAAAGTGCCATTCCTGTCACAGAAATCACAGGCAAGTATGGTAATAAAATCTTGGTGTAGTAAGAAGTTGGATTTTGCAAAAGTTTTTGTTGTGCTACACGCCAGTAAAGTTTTAAGAATTGAATCCATCGTGGTTGTGGTTTGTGTGTGAATCGCTTAAATTTGGAAGGACTACGTTTTGTAAAATGTTCACCTATTGGTTGTTGTTGTTGTTGCTGGGTTTGATGAATTAAAAAGTTTTGAATAGTGTACACCATGAGTCGTATTCGTTCCCTCCACAAATCGGAAATGTTATGGTTCTTGGTTAAATGTTCATGAATATTATTATTATTATTATTGTTAAAATCATTAAAAGTGTAATGATTGATATTTTCGTTTCCGTTGTGAGATTGGTATTGATTTTTAGAGTTTTCGAAGCGATCGGGAAATAAGTGATTTGCAATTTTATAAATTCGTTGCTCTTGTTTTTCATTTGATGGCAGCGACCAACGACGTCCTTGCATTAATTCATTATTATTATTATTTTTATCACTATTATCGTTGTTATTATTCTTTTGATTCGCATCATGATGACGATGACTATGGAATCTCATCATTGGAGAGGACACCCGATGAGAATGACCCATCAGTAGTGGATGGTGTTGTGAAATCATTTCGGAATTTTTTTCCTTGCTCCGCGGAGTGCCTTCATAGCTTCTTCGCGATAGGGAATAACGTTCGAAGAAAAACCTTAATAACAACAATTGGAGCAGTGTGGGCTTGGTCTTAAGGACAATGTCATTCAAATCATCATATCTTGGAGATGAAAAATTGGACTTGTCATGGAGCAATCTCTCTTGATTTGTGTTGGTTGATACAAATCGAAAGAAACAGAAGATGATTTCAGAAAGTGCTTCAATCGTAGCCAGAATCCATCGAATCAACCATTCAAACATTGCATCTCCTCTTCAATTGTTCATACTTCTTCTAAAATTGATCTTCAAATTTCAGTGAAAGCTGACGTTTGCTCGCCTCAATGTTTCGATCCAAATCAGCAACACCCATCATTCAAAAAAATACTTTAAAACACAATCGAATTGACAAGTTGCTGTTGTTCACCGTTTTTGCTGCACTGATCATCTGAACACACTGATTTCGATCTCATTGCAACACAAAAAGGTGAGTCACCAATACATTTCGTCGGATCAAACGTTTTGGGATGATAAAAACAATAACAACATCTTTTGTATCTATGGATTGATCGAAATCGGATGATGATTGTGAATCGTTGTTGTGTGTGCGTGTTGTGAATAGACATTGAAACAACAACAACAACCATTGCGATTCTGTAATATATTATTATTTTCATCATTGTCGTATCCGAATTTAAAGCTTTTTCACAACAACACTTTCTCTATTGATTATTGTGAAAAATGTCATCCATTTCTGCACAGGCGTTTCTCGTGCCCATTGAATCATCTAATAGCAACACTACTTCCTCTCTACAAGTCTATCAACATACATCGATTGCCTCTTCGACACTTATTTACAATTATGGAGGTGAAGATTCGAATGGTTTCTGGACCAATCGATTGAGTGTGTTAAATCTTGCCGCTGGTTCAGGTTTTAAAAAACAGACCAAGCTTAAATCTTTGGAGTGGGAGAAGCCCAAATATAATTCATTTCCTCCCAAGAAAGATGGTCACGTCATGATGTTGACGTGTGGCAGTGCAGGCAATGCTCAAAAGAAAATATTTCTATTTGGAGGAAATGACAATCAGAACATTTCTGGAAATAATAATGCACTCTATTCGATCGATTTGGAGAATTTGACATGGAAAATCGAAATGAAACATCAAGATGATCATTCTCGACCATTTGGTAGATCGCATTCTGCATTTACACAAATTAAGAATTATTTATACATGTTCGGAGGAAAGATTACTTCTTTGCAATCCTCATCAAATGGCTCAGATCCGACATCGGTCTCAGTCAAAACACTGGATGATTTTTGGATGTTTAATTGTGAGAATTTAACATGGAAGAAACTTTCGAACAAGTTGTTGTCGACAAATGAATCTCTTCCAAAATTAACAGGAGCCACTTTGTGTGCCTCTTCGAAGGGTACTGACTTGTTCCTATATGGAGGAGTCTGTGACAAAGAATACAGCAATGAATTGTACAAGTATTCTGTGAAGAATGATTCATGGGAATGTATCACTTCTAAAATGAAAGGTGACATTCCCCAATTTGGAAGAGAACGACACGCATGTTGTCTTTTATCAAAATCCAATGAAATGCTCATTAGTGGAGGTTGGATCTTTGGTGGAGTGAGTTCACAAATACTCTCTCTTAATTTAGATACATTGGTCTGGAAGAATGTGAATGTTTCAATGGGATCCAATTCGATGGAATCAAAAATGTTGCAACGATATGGACACACCATGGTTGCATTGGAAGGAGCTGTCAATGAACAAATTCCATTAGTTGTCATGATTGGAGGAAAAGATTTAACCATGAGTAATCGTGGAGAAGTGATTTTGATTGCTCTCCATTCGAAAGATGCCACTTGGACCACTCTTGCACAAAGTTTTGGACAGAAACAAGATCATTCATTGAATGAAGAATGGACACGGTATGAGAAGGTGAGTGGATTATTGCCAGCCACTCCAATGACCGATGATTACTTGTCGAGTATGTTGGGAGTGACTTCCACTGTATCTTCATCACCATCAATGGTCGCAACCACAAGCACTACTACCAGCACCACCAGCACCGCTACAAGTACACCTCCTGCAGTTCCAAAGCGTCCTTCCTTCTCGAAAGCAAGTACTGGTGACTCAACCAAACAAGAGAATGTGAGTGAATCGACAATCTCAAGTACTACTCCACCCTCTATTCCAAAACGTCCAGTAAGAAAGGAAGAGGACACTCCTCCAAAGAAGAGCACCTCCTCGTCAACCGTTGAGGAAGAAACAAAGAAGCCCTCGACATCTGCCATCATCACCACCACCAGTACAGAATCTAAACCAACCACAAGTGGTTCCAAGACTGTTAAGGTTGATTCAACTATGTCACCTTCAGCAGATGCCATTTCTGAAAAATTGCAAGAGGCTGAACAACGTCCAAAGCTTGAATTGGCCAAAAAAGGAGCCAGAATGCAACAAAGAAAGCCAAAAACTGTCAATGCAGATTTATCGAAATTGGATAAGGTCACCAAAGAAGCCACTCTTGATGTTCCAGATGATTCCAAATTCAAAAAGTTAGAAATTGAATCAAAGAAGGTTGTTACTCCTACCAACGAAGAACAGCCATCGGGCGAAAGCAGCTCTCAAGATAAAAAGCCAAAGTTTGGTGTTGGAATCGGAGGCAACCCAATGATGAGCGAATTAGCATCCAAGCTCAAGAAAAAATAAATTTATAAGAGAGCGGATTGTACAAATATTAACTCTTCAATGAGGTGACAGTATTTTCGTAATTGAGGTTCGTCATCGCCTAGAACTTCTTTTCTTGGAATAATTTTAGCTTCTTCGTTTTGAATTTGATCATTGTTGTAGAGCTCTTGATATTTGGCATAGAGCTTTTCGAATCTTTCTTTTCCGAAAATTTGTTCGTTCTGTTTTATAAGGCTGTTGACACGATCCTCTAAACGTCCAACCACAGGAATGTCATCGTAATCTGTCTCTTCATAATAGTCCTCTTCTTCTTCGTCCTCGCTGTCCTCTTCTGTTTCGTATTCAACTTCTTCCTCACTTGACTCCATCCCTTCATTACTGTCGTCGCTGTCTCCAAACATGGTGTCTTCAACTTTGCAAGCTTTATCTTCACCTGAGCTACCATTATTCTGATTGATGACATTATTGTTGTTCATTATCATGCTCTCCTTCTTTCGCTTAAGAGTTTCAATTTTCTTCATTGTCAAGTTAATCATTTCGGTGTACTCCTTCTCAATTTCAGAATCAATTTCTGCTTGTCTTTGAAGTATGGATTCTTTATCAAGAACAGATGGTATCTTTGGTGGCTCCACAACCTCTTTCTTTGGTGCCTTGTCAACTCCCACAATATTGTGTTGATTGTGGAAAAGATTAAAATGTTGATTTTTAGCAGCAACTCTGCTTGCATGATATTCAACTCTTGCTTCCTTGAGCTTTTGCTTTTGTTCTTCTTCTTCCTTAATTTTCTTTTGCTGCCTTTCAAAAAGAATACGTTCCTTTTCATTGGTGAAAGTTGGAGGTGTCTTTGATGGAGGTTCAAACTTGGAAGGAAGGTTAAGTCCTTGAAATTTTTTGCTAAACTCTTGAAATGCATGATCGTCTTCTTTTTTGGGTTCTCTGTCTTTTCGCATTTGTTCGAGAGCTTTCTCAATTCTCATTTGCTCTTTTTGAAGTTTCATAATTTCAGAATCTATTTTCTTTTCTCGTACAGCAATATCATTGTTGGATGATTGAGGTCTTGACGATGGTTGGACTTTTGGTTGAGGTTTTGGAGGGATTTTTTCAGGAACTGGAGATTGATTTCTAGGTTGTGGTGGAACGACTGCTTTCTTGGCCACGTTGTAGTTAGGATTTGGAGGAACAATGGGTTGGAGCACAGACGGGTTTGGAACGGGTAGAGGGTCTTGATTAAGCGCTTTGTTATTTAAAACTCCCAGTTCAGTTAGTTGAATAAATAAATTTGACATTTCGCCGTCAAGAACAGTGTCTTCTACTTGGTCTTGGGCCAATGTCAGTTCACCTGTAGAGGTAACTGTGAGCATTTGTTGTCTAATATATTTTACAATTATTGGAGTATTTAAAATTTCCTTAAGAGTTGGCCTTTTGCTGGGTCTTGTCTGGAGACAACTGTTGATCAAATTCACAAGCTGGCTGCTATAGTGGTGCACATTCTTTACAGGAGAGTAGTATCCTTTCTGAATATTCAAGAAGAGTAGTTGTATGTTTTTTCCTTTGAAAGGAAGAGCCCCTTGATTGATCATTTCATACAATATCACTCCAAGAGCCCACACATCGGATTTGTAACTGTATTTTGATCCATTACATTGTTCTGGGCTGATGATCATCAAAATATCATGTCTCAGCAGTGAATCTAAAGATTAACTCTTACTTACCTCATGTACAAGGGTGTGCCGATTGTTGTCTGTGCCATTTGTTCACATGTTCTCATACCAGCGTCATCAAAAACTTTGGCTATACCAAAATCACCAAGTCGAGCATTTCCCTTGTCAGTAAGAAATATATTTTGTGACTGTTTCAAAAATTTAAAAATCAATAAATTGTAAATATATTTTCAATTACCTACCTTTAGGTCTCTGTGTAAGACTTTTTGAGAATGAATGAAATGAAGAGCTAATGCGGACTGAACAAATAATTTCAGAATTGTCTTTTCTGGAATTCTTTGGTAGGTGTAATTTTTCTGAATAAACGATGCCAAATCTCCTCCCTTGCAGAAGCTCATCACAATACAAAGGTTACTTTCGTCATCTATGAAAGAATCAATGTATCGGACGATGAAAGGGTGTTGGAGCGCCTGCAGTAGCTTGACTTCTTGCTTGGCGTTATTTTTTTCCTTTTGCGACACTCCTTTCAACGCAATCTTCTTCAACACATACTTTTTATCAACATTGGACACTGGATGCACAATGAAAACAGTGCCATAGCTTCCACTTCCTAGCTTCTTTTCTGTAACATATTTGTTCATTTCTAGGAATGTCGGGTGATGATGTATGAGTCAAAATTTAATAATCAATTTACTAATGATGATGGTTAATTTATGAAGCTTCAGTGTATCGATCTAATGAAACGATCTTGTTACGATACAACAACTTTTCTAAAGCTTCAAACTTGATTGTATTGATGAAATGAAATATGTAGATCCGTTAATTTGTAGATTTTTTTGGCGCATATTTTGTTTAAGCGAATTGCGTTCTCGTTCATTCGAACGACAAAACGAAAATAAAAATAGACAAAAAAATTAATTATTGTTGCTTTTCATCCAACAATTAAACCAACCCAATAATTGAATCCAACGATTTCGTTGGTCCACCGATAACCAAACTTTTATCGGAAATGCAATACTTGGGAAATATTTACGGAAAAACAATGTCGTATTATAATAATGGATTGAATGGATATTCCTTATCGACGCAAACAAGCGCTTCTTCAACAGTGCCCCAAATTTTGTCCAAAGACGTGTTGGACTTGTATTCGAAAGAAATGGCTGACATTGCGAAGGAGTCGTATCAGTTGGATTTTAGTAGAACTCCACTCAATAAGAATGTGGTTCTTTGTTTAGGATCTCAATCATCAGGGAAATCATCACTAATTAATTATCTATTTTCAAGTCTTTCAATTCGAGAAACAGGAGAAAATGCTATTGACACACAATTCACAATAATCGAATGTGTGAGCGAGAAGGAATTTGTGTCACTCGTGGGTAGCACTAAATATAACAAGCTGA